GCATCTCGAGGGGTGCCTGGGGGGCTCCTGGGCTCCTGAACCCGCCAGCCCGCGAATCCGTGGGAGCGTCCGCGGTCTGTGCGGCTGAGTGGTCCGGTACCTGTCCGTGGGTCCGCGGGTCGCGACGCGTCCTCTGCTTTATGCATCCATGTGTGCGTATCCACGTGTGTTTTGTGTTGCCTGTGTGTGTCAGAGCTTTGTGTGGCTACGGGACAGCCTGTGCGTCTGGGTAACTCGGCGACTGTGCTGGGCGTCCCAGCGGGACGGTCTTGTGAAACTGTGTGTGTCCCTGGGGCCATGTGTCCCTGGGTGACCGTGGTGTGTCCGTGTGTGTGTGTGTGTGTGTGTGTGGCGGTTGTGGGATGGGAGTATTGTTGGTGAGTGGGAAACTGTCGTGTGGCTGCGTCCCAGGAGACTGTAGGGTGTCGCTGTGTGCGTGTGACTCGGGCGCTGAGTGTCCCCGGGGATGGCCCCCCTTCCCCAGTTCCTTTTTTCCTGGAGCCGGGGCTGCTGGGGGCGGGGCAGGCCCTTCCTCTGCCTTTGCAGAGTGCTCTCCCTCATCTCACCCCTTTACGACCCCTTAACCTCCCCCAGCCTCAAGGTCCCCCATCCGCTGGGCCCAAGGTGGTCCTGGCTTGAGGTTCCGGCGCGAGGTGGCGCCGGGACGCGATCACCCAGGGGCTGCGCGTGCGCGGGGACCTGCCCCGAGGGGGCGGGGCGGCGGGGTTTCCTCCCTCCCTCTGCGGCTGTGGAGGTCCCTGGGGGAGGGCGGTTGCCGAGGTGTGGGGCTAGGACAGGCCCCGGGGATGGCCGAGGAGAGCCCTTAGACCCCTATGCTGGGGAGACCCGAGTGGCGCGGGGGCCGCCCCCAGGCCTGCCTGCACCCTGGCCCCGGCTGGACCAGAAGCAGAGCGGTCGCTGAGTTCTTCCGGCCTCGCGGGAATCCACGCTGCCCCCACCGGCGCGTTTTTATATAATTTTCTAAATATAAAAGCCTCAAGGCCAGGCCAGAGTCTCTGCTTTTTTTTCTTTGAAACCCCATCCCATTGGGGATTGGTTTGGGAAGGGGAGAAAACTAGCCCTGCCAGGGCACACTGAGACACACACACACACACACACACACACACACCCCAGGGTCCCAGCCAGACACACCCAGGCTGCACCCCCCTCGTGCCCATGTGTGTAGCATATTCAGAGCCCAGGTATGCCCCCCCCGTGTGCACACAGAGTTGCACACACACAGGTACACACAGACTCCCGCTCACACCTGGAGATGGATGCACACAGGCACAGCACCCACACTTGTCCCCACCCTCGACCCCTCCCCTGCCCCTGGGTGTCCCTGCAAGGCCCAGGGGGAGGAGGTGGCGGTCATCCTGGGGGACAGAGGTGTGTGCTGGTGAGGATGTGACCTGCCCCTGCCTGTGTGAACACCACGGGGTCCACGGTGGGGTGTGTGTGCTCACAGGAGTGTGTGGTCCTGTGGAGTGTGACTGTGGTGTGTGTCTGTGGCTGCTGGTGTGGTGGGGGGCAGTTCTGTCCCCCTGTGGTTGAGCAGAGCTGTGCTGTGGGGCGTTGTGAGGCCGTTGTGTGCCTGTGTCCTGCGGGGATCTGGGGGGCCTGCGGGGCTCTGCTGTGGGTGGGGTTTGAGGCCAGGTCTGGAGACCTTGCTCCCAGAGGGGGGGTCTGTTCAGCCATGAGTCTGTGTGTCTGCCTGACTGTGTCAGGTGGGGTCTCCTGTCTCTCTGAGCCCGCGATGTGCGTGTGTCTGTTGTGTGCGTGTGTGTATCGGCCCAGTGTCACATCCCACCTTGACCTCTCGTGACTGAAGACCCTGACATTCCTCCTCTGAAAGATGCAACTCCCATGGACCCTTGCGAGGGTTGGGTGAGGTGGTGGGGTCAGCAGGTGCACACCTGGGAGGGTGTGCCCCGTGGGACCACTGTGAGGGTCCCCAGGGTCTCTGCTGCTCTGTGAGTGGCCCTCGGTGTTTGTTTCTTTACTGCACGAGCCCTTGGAGTCATCTGAAGAGGATCCAAAGTATCCAAAGTCAAGCTGGAGGTCTTTGTGTTAATGTCCCCAGGTTTAGACCCACCTGCCACACATCTGGGTGTGAGCAGTTGCCGGGGAGCAGGCTCAGGTCTCAGGAGGACCCCTGTGAGGCTGGGGTGCAGGAGGGGAGCCCTAACCTAGAGCCAGGCCAGGTTCCACCAGCTCGGCGGCGAGCCCAAGCCCACGAGCGTGCATTCGTATAAATGGCACACGCATGTTTACTTCAAGGACACACCTGCATCCTCAGTGAAGGGTGTGTGCATGTTCGTGTAGGGACCCTGGCATCTGCAGAAGGGACACACTTGTGTTTTCATAAAGGACCCTGTGCATTTGGTGGGCTGAGTGTAGTTAAGAAAAAAAAAATTCTAACTGAGGTTTTTGACTTTCTTGCTGAGCCTGTACCAGGGATGTCTCTGCCCAAGAGTGCACTTGACAATGTCTGGGGACGTTTCTGGTGGTCCATCTGGGGAAGAGATGCTCCTGGCCTGAGCAGTGGCCAGGGATACTGCTCCATGCCCTGTGGCACCCAGAATGGCCCCCCACAAATGCCCGCAGTGCTGGGGACGTGAGGCTTTGGGTTGCTTCTTGGCTGGGCCCTGAGTGGCCCATGGAGGAGCCCTGCTCCCCCCGCCCCCCGGCTGCGTCCTGCCGTGGCCTCAGTGCCTCAGCAGAATCACCAGAGATGGGCATGGAGGCAGAGCCTGAAGGCTGGCGTACGAGCATTACTGTTGGGGGTGACCTTCTTTGTGGGACAGTTACAGGAGAGTGCAGGGGTGGGGAGGGGAGAAGGCATTTTCATTTTTCAACAGATGAGCCACATTTTGGTATCTCATGTGCCCACTCCTGTCCCTCCACCGAGGTCCAGATCAACCAGTTGCTTTCTTGGGAAACCACCACAGGCTGGGCACTGGCTGGTTTATCCCTAGCCCAGAGGGGCAGGAACGGTCATCACCCCATTTCACAGAGGGGGAAACTGAGGCAGGGAACAGTTAAGCTGCTGTCCAGAGGAGACTCACCAGGCAGCAGCGACCCTGCACCAAACCGAGTGAGCGAGTGAGGAGGTGGGCAGCTGTGGACGCAGCAGGAGCCTCTCCCACCTGCAGCCGCCCCCACCCTTGGGCAGGAGTATTAACATGTCTACAGCAGTCCAGCCTGAGGCGTGTCCTGAGATGAGGAAGCTGAGGCTTCCCCAGGGCCATCTGTGTACCCCAAACTTTACCTTCAAAAGGAGCCCTCCTGCAGGAGGGGGACCCACCCTGCCAGACGCAGGCTGCGGGCGAGGCTGCAGGGGAGCTGGGGACTTCAGCTTCTGGGTGCATTCGAGGGTTTACCTTGTATGTGCTCGCAGCACATTTTAATAAAATATGCCTTGGGTTGGCATCTGGATCCCCAGACACCCGGCCCCATCATCCTGGGGTTTTAAGTGCCACCCCCCTCCCCAGCTGCACAGAGAATTTTAAAAGAAAAGCATTTATGGAGTGCGGGATGGTTTGGGTAGTAGTCACCCCAGGCAGTGGGGAGTCTCCGGGGCCAGGGAAGAGGGGCTGTGGGGTCCTGCTACCTCCTGGCTCACAACCCTGAGCGGGTGCTGGTGTTCCCCGGGTTCCCCTGCCACAGGGAAGTGCTGCAGGCACCTGGCCCTGAGCTTGGGCAGCTGCCCCAGGCTGGGGAGAAGGTCCCTTCCAGCTCAGAATGCTGAGTCAAATGGGCAGGCTTTCCAAGGGGGTCTGAGTGGGCTTCTGAGAAGGCCAGGGCTGTCATGCTGTTTGTTCTTGTGCAGACAGAGCCCTCTGGCAGGAGGACACCTGAGGTGGGGATGAGGGATGCAGCAGAGTGTGAGCCTGGGGAGGGCCCAGCTGGCCTTACACACCCTGGGGGCCTCCACTCTGGGGACGTGGCCTGTGCCTCTCTTGCAGAGGGAGAGCTGCAGCGCTCTAAGAATGTGGATTCTGGGGCCAGGTGGCCTGGTTCCAAGTCCACATTCTCCGTGCCTCGTTTTCCCAGGCTGCGAAATGGGCTGTCCTTTGGGGCTGGAGCTGGGGAATGAGGCCTTGAGGGTTCATCTGGCAAGCCAGCGTCCTGCTTGGCCACCGTCATCCTGGGTCTGGGGAGAAATACGGGCGAGGCCAATTGCCCCCACCCCTTTGGCACTGGCTGAGCGGGAACAGATTTCTGGAGGCCCCTCCATTAGTGGAAGCTCTTCTGGCGTCGTTTCCAAGCCTCTCCAGCGCCGGAACTGCAGCCCGTGTCTGGATCTGGGGGCAGGAGGGAGAGAGGGTGTCCTGGGACGCCCCCCCTGCCGTGCACCCTGCGGTGCGTCCTGTCGGTCGTACATCTTTAAGGCGAAAGACGCGCGCTCCCGCCGGCCTCTGCGCACGTCACTTCTTCATTCTTTCCCTCCCCCCTTGGCTCGTTCCTGCAACTTCCCGGCCAGCTCGGGGCGGGGGGAGTGGGGGGCGCTTGGACCTCCACCTCTGCCCCTTGGGGTCCACCACCAGCCCGGCCCCGACCTTCCCAGTTGACCCCGGTGGGCAGCCCCAGGGGACCCGCTGCGGTCGGGCCGGTGGGTCCCGGGCAGCGGTCCCAGACCCGGGGTGGGGACGGGTAATTCTAGCAACGCTGGGGGCTCGCGGGACGTGGGGGGGTCTTTCCTCGCTCGCGCTCTTTTTTCCCTCGTTTCTTTGAAAGTTGGATGTTGAGAAGTGGGAGGTTCGCGGTGGGAGGAGAGAGAAATTGGGGGGAGGGAGAGGACAGGCTGCCAGAGGGAGGGACAGAGACAGGGAGACGGGGGGGCAGGAAAGGAAGAGACGCGGACAGAGACGGGGAACCGAGGGAGGCGGCGCTGGAGAGAGGGAGCGAGGGAGGGAGGAGCGGCGGCCGCGGGAGGCGGCGAGCCGAGCGCGCCGCGGGGGGGGGGGGCTGGAAAAATGACTCAGTAAGTTCCGCGCGCCCGCTCCGGCCGCCCTGCGCCTCCCGCCGCGCCCGGGATGTATTCGTCCCCGCTCTGCCTGACCCAGGTACGCGCCCCCCAGCCCGCGCCCCCGGCCCCGCGCCCCCGCGGCCCGGCCCGGGAGTTTGGAAGCTGGCGGCGGCGGGTCGAAAAAGGCGCGCGTCCCTCCCGCCACCCGGGCCGGTGCCCCCTCCTCGGGGCCCGGGTCCGGTGGAGGATCGGAGGATCCATTAGGCCCTGACCCCCACCCTGGACCCCTACTAGGGACCCCGGCCTCGCCCACCGCCCCCCGGGACCCCTCGCGCTCCTGGGCGCGGGGCTGGGGCTGCAGCCGCGTCCTCCCTGCACTCCACTCGGGGCGCGCTGCCCCCGGCGCTCGGGAAGGTCGGGAGGGGGAGCCCCCGGCGCGGCGGAGGCTGGGCTGTGCGCGAGGCGCCTGCCGCCTCCCGAGGAACCCAGGGGTCCCGGCTGGACGCTGGGCCTCCCCAGCTGTGCTGAGAAGAGCATCCCTCTGCGTGGTCCCCTCCTCCCCCGGCCCAAGTGGTGACCCGCCACCGCAGCCCTCGGGCGCCTTTCCCCCCATTATTGGCCCACGTGTGCGTGGAGGGGGAGGGGGCGCGCGAAGTTGGAGCGCGGGGGCGGGGAGGGTGCTCTGACGTCCGGCTGCCCCGCCGCCCCACCCCCAGCACCCTCCCGGTATTTTCGCCGCATCGATTCTGAATTATTGAGCTGCCAGAGCGGAGCGGCCGGAGCAGCCGGGAGGCCGGGCGGCCGGGCGGCGGGGTCTGGCCTGGCACTGCGGAGCTGCGCGCCCTCGCCAGCCCGGCACCTGCCCCTGCCCCCTCCCGCAGCAGCTTCTCACCCCGGGCCGCACTCCCAGACTGCCCTGGGCTGAGCCTTGTGCAGTGACCCAGGGGGTGTGTGGGGAGGGGGTGGCTGCCCTGTCCCAGGCCACTCCCCAGGGGACTCCTGGCCCCCCACGGCCTCCTGAGGCCCCCAGGACCACGTGGTTTCCAGCTGGGCACCCCCCTTCAATTTTGCTGTGTGATTTTAGGCCAGTGGGGTGCCGGCCTCAGTTTCCCCAGGTGTCATGAGACTGAGGCAGGTGCAGCAGAGAGCCAGCGCAGGCTGCAGGGGTCCCTGGAGGGAGCGTGGCTACTCTCAGGTGTCTGCCCAGGTCCCCCATGCATGAGCCTGGAGTCCCCTTCAGGGTGGTTCTCACTGGCTCTCCAGCTGCCACTCAGGTGTCCCCGCAGTGAAGGGGGAGCTGGGCCAGGGGTTGTCCTGTGATCCCTGGTGACCTTGGTGAGCCCCTGCCCCTTTTCCTTCCTGAGCAGCTTTGGGCAGGAGGGCTGCCAGGGCAGGTGTCCCCTTGAAGCCCCCCCCAGGAGGGCGGAGGGAGGGTTCCGAGGTGTGGCCTTGGGCAGGCTTTGAAGCCTCTGCACTTAGTAGGTGGCCCCAGTGGTGCCTGACCCTCTGCCTTCCCTCCCTGGCTCCCTGCAGGGGGTGGCTGGAGGGCCACCAGGGGAGGCTGTTCCAGGGCCTGCTGCTGTGGAATTCCCCGACAGGCTGGTCCAGGGACAGGCCTGCGTCCACGCTGCCGTGGGGGAGGGGACAGCCTAGCCTTGCCTTGCCCCAAAGAACTTGCTGTGCCGACCGTGCCTCAGTTTCCCCAGGAGCAGGGTGGGGTCAGCCAGGGGGACAGCTGAGGGGCTCGAAGGATCCAGGTCTGAGTGAAGAGCCCGAGACCGGGCAGAGATGGGGAGACACAGGGGAAGAGAGAGCCCGGGCCGGGGGTCCCCACTTCAGGGACTCCCCTGTGACCCTCCCCTGGTCACCCTGCCCTGCACAGGAGCCTGGGACCCCTCTGGGACCTCCGTGGTCCAAGTGCAGTCCTGCAGCCGGCTCCCTTCGGGTGGCTCAACCTGAGCGCCCCTGGCTCCACGGGGGACTCCGCTTCCTCTCCTGTCCCTCACAGTGGTCCCTCCCTGCCTCTGTCCCTCCTCTGTCCCTGCCTGTCTCTGTCCACCAGGGTCTCTCTTCCCTCCTCCCTGTCCCCCTCTTCCCTCCTGTCCTCTCTGGGTCTCCTACATGGCTAATTTCACAACCTGAGTCCAACCTAAAATAGCTCCCTTTTAGCTGATCCGACCCGGATCCTTCTGGGGAGCCCAGGCCTGGGGGGGGGCAGTGCCTGGTGCCAGCCCGCGCTGTGCCACCGGCCGGCCTGCGGGGGGGGGGGGGGGGGCGGGGCTGCAGCGGGCAGCCCTGGAGGATTCTGGGAGCCTGTCCCGGTCGGTCGGCGGTGACTCAAGTGCCTTTTCACTTTTACTCTTAAGAGGAACTGCGGAGCCGTTATTTCCATAAATCCTGCTGGCGGGGAGGTGGCCTCCCGCCCGCCGCCACCGCCACGTTAGTTATTCCGGGTTTGGGGCCAAATCCCTGTTGGCTGCCCTACCCAGCAAGAGGATTCCCTGGCCCCACTGGGCCTGGGCCACCTCGGCCGCCGTCCCTCCCTCATTCATTCACCCTCCCTCACCCCCTTGGCCTCCACCTTTTGACGGCCGTGTCTCAGCGTGGACACTGAGGCTGGGCCTGTCGGGTTGGCCAAGCCTTCCTTACAGGCCCCTGCTGAGGGCCAGGGGAGATGGGGAGGCGGGAGGCCCTGGGTCCAGCCTGGGGCGGGTTCTGGAGGGGCATCAGGGGTCACGCAGGACCAGGGAGCCCCAGCACCTCGCAGCTGGGAGAGGGGCCAAGACTCAGAGAGGGTCAGGGCCCGCCCAGGGTGGCACAGCATGGTGGTGGGGCCAGGATCTGGGGCTGCTGCCCATCTGGCTGTTTGGCCTGGGCAGGTGGGGCTCACAGAGGCCAGCTCCCCCCCGCCCCCCCCCCTCCTGTGTCCCCCTGTCTCTGCGCCTCCCCCGCCTCCCCTCCCCTCTCTGCGGCGGGCGAGGTGCCTCTTGGAGCCAGGGCCGGCTCCCTGTAAATCACCGAGCTGGATTCTGGCGAGTCAGCGTTCTCTCCCGCTCGCTCCCTCTTCCTGCCAGAGCCGCCTCCCTCCCTGTCGTGCGCTAAATGGATGGGAAACACCACTGTGTCCGCCGCCTGGAGGCCGCAGGCCCCGCGGGCTGCCCCCCACCCGGGCGCCCCGACCCGCAGTCGGCGCCCCGCGGAGCAGCCGCCTCCCCCAGCCGCACGCCCTGCGCAGCCCTGGTGCAGGACGCAGCCCTGGTGGGGGCGCGGGGCAGACCCGGCGTGTCCTTCAGATGCATGTGAAGGTCTTGCTCAGGATGCATGGAATCCACTTGTCCTTGTCCCCAGTTTTGCAACTCTGGGGACGTGACCTTAGGCCCCACCTGCCCCAGACTGTTTCACCCGCTGCCTCCACCGCAGGGCAGCCTGCAGGGACACTTGAGGTGTTTGGTGCAGGGTCTGGCACACAGTCGGTGTTCAGTAAATGCCTCTTGCGTGAATGACAGATTCTGCCGGCTGGGGGCGGGTCTGGCCTTCCGGGGCCTGGACACCCACTTCAGGAGGGACATGAGTCTCTCCCAGGTCTTCCCAGGACAGTGCTGGCAGACAGCAGGTGCCACATGAGAGCTGCAGCCCTCGGGGGCATTGCTGGGCTAACAGTGGTCCTCCCCCTCAGCACTGTCTGCCACTCTGCTGTGTGCACTCTGTCACTCTGCTCGGCGCTACCCCAGCTTTGGGCCCTGTGGGAGGGTCAGGGTGGCCCGGCACGCTTGTGGGGCCTCTGGTCTCTCTGTCAGACCCCCAGATGGACACAGCCGTGCACTGGGCATGCAGAGGAGTGACAGGCAGACGATGGCGTGGGGTTCAGAGAGGACAGGAGCAGCCCGGGTGGCCGGAGCCGCGGCCGAGGGCCGTGCGATGTGCTCAGGGGCTCAGGATAGGGAGACGGGTCCAGCCGGGCACCTTGTGGCTGTGTGATGCTGGGTGGAGACTTCAGCTCTGACACCCCAGCCTCCTCTTGGTAGAGGCGAGCCTTGTCCCCAGAGCTGACACGGCAGAGACTCCGCCTCCCTGAGCCTCGGCTCCGCCTCATGCTTCTCCAGGGACACTGAGGGGTGTGTGGGCGGAGATCCAGGGCCACTGTGGCAGGGGTCTCCACTCTCTGGACTCACTCAGATTCTCCCTGGTTGCCTCCGAACCCTACACCACCCCCTGTCCCCTCCCACCTCCCCCTGCTCCAGCCACAGTCCCCTGGCCCCCTGCTGTGCCTCCAGGCTCAGTTGTGCCCCAGGGACTTTGCACAGCTTCCTCCACCTCAAAACCCCTCCCCCACTGCCATCCCTCAGGTCCTCATTCAAGTGTCCTCTCCTGCAAGAGACCTTCTGGGCTCCTCACCTAACCCCTCCCCTAGGGCTCCCTGCCCGCCATTCCTCCAGATGCCCTCAGAGCGCTCTGCTCGGCCGGACATTGTCACCCACCTGCTCAGCATCCACCCCTGCCCCACGTCCGGATCCCAGTGAGCGGGGCCACAGCGGTGCCCAGCACCACACAGGGGCAGGCGTCCAGAGGCCCCGGTAACTGCAGCCCAATGCCTCCCTCCCTCGTGGGGTCCAGCGTCAGGAGCTCTGATGCGCTGAGCTTGGGGGAAGGAATTGTCCAAGGCTGCAGATACGCAGACTGCACTCGCCAGTCACCTGACCTTGAGCTAGCCGTCCACCTGGAGAAGAGGACATTGGAACTAAGGCTTTGACGGATGCATAGGAGTGCGGGATACGGGCTCAGCAGGCGTGGAGACAGGACACGAAGCCTCACATCCTAGTTTGCTGCCGGGGAATATGGGGGTGGCGCTCAGCAAGGCCTGGACCCCAGTGTCCACCTCCCAGCATCTGTTCTCTGGCCAGCAAGTTCCAGCCAAATTGGGGTTTCTGGGAAAGGTCCATCCCTGTCCCTCCGCTGCCTGGCCCTGCTGCTCACCTGGTCTGACTCCCACAGAGGCCGAGGGAGGACCGGGCAGCGGTCCCTGACCCAGTTACAGCGTGTTTGTCTTCCTGACTCCACGGCCAGCTGGGGTCACCTGTGACGTGGGCCCCACCCCTGCCCGCCTCCCTGGCACCTCTCCCAGGAAAGTGGGGGGCTTCGACAGGGAGGGCAGAGCTGGACCTCAGGGAGGGGCTCAGGGGGAGAGGCTCCAGAGGGAAGGTCCAGGGACGGGACGCGGACCCCTACCCCAGCCGCCCGCCAGCGCGGCTCAGCAGGGCTCCAGTGAGCACCGGGCTGGGCGGAAGCCACTGCCTGCAGGGATGCTGCTGCCCCGGCCTCCTGCCCTCCTGCCCTCCTGGGCCTTCCATGGCCGGTGACCCGGGCCCCGCAATCTCCCGCCTCTTCTCTGGCTAGGTGGCCTGGGCTCTGGTCCCAGCTGTGTGACCCTGACAAAGAGCTCCCCGTCTCTGGTCTCCCCTGTCTCCTGCATCCAGACACGGGAAACCCTGAGGGGCGGATGGGGACAGGGTGGGTGGCCTCAGCTGGCCAGGTTGGGGGAGGAGAGGCAGTGGGAAAGGGCCCTGAGGTCCAGTCCCGGCCACAGCTGTCACGGTGACTCACACTTTAGGGGACATTGGAGGGGAGCTGAGCTGGTACCGGCCCGGCCCATCCTGCCCCGCCCTGGCCTCACCAGGCCGCGGCTATTTTGGGAGACTTGGTGATAGGCAAAATCCCGTGTCCCCTCCCTCCAACACCCCGTGGCCGAGGCAGTCCCAGGGGAGACAGAGCAGGCCGCAGGTGGACAGGGCCCAGCCAGCCCAGCTGGCCAAAAGCCTGGGGCCCAGAGGCTGTGACCGCTCCTATCTCCAGCCCCCGGGCCTCAGGTCCCATCGGCTCTGGGCAGGAGAGCTGGGTTTCCCCCCTGCTGAGGTCAGGCCGCGGGAACGCGACGACAGTGCGCCCTCCGAGCAGCAAGATCCACAGTGGCCAGCATGGAGGGGGTGCTCGGTGGCCCAGGGGGACGGTGGGATCTGTGCCCCAGTGAGGCGCCAGGAGGCGGTTCCCAGCTCCCCTCGGGTCCCCCGCAAGGCCAGGGCGCAGCGCGGGCACTCCCTGCGCTCAGTGTTTCTCTCTGAACAATGGGGAGTGGGCCCCTCCCACCGGCAGGGGTCAGTCCTGGAGGGCCCACTGGGGCTGGGGCTGTTTGCCCGGAAGGTCACAGGGCAGCAGGTGCCAGGCCCCGGTGGCCGGGCCCTGCTCAGCGACCCGTCCAGATGGGGGGGACAGGGCGACGGAGCACAAGCGCAGCTTCGGTGCAGGTCTCGGTGCCTCCTGGCCTCTGCTCCCCGTGGGCACGTGGGTGTGTGGGGCGGGCTGGGGGACAGTCAAGGCCTGCCCGGGGTCTCCCCTTCTGTGTGTGACCTCTGTGGTGTGGGGCTGGGCAGGAACCCGCACCCTTCCATGGCCCCTTGGCCTGTGCTTCTGCCAGGCTCTCGGTCCTCAGTGCTCTTGTTGATGTCCCAACTGGCAGAGGTGGTCCCCACCGGGCCTGCCCAGCAGGGGTCTGGGGGGCCAGGCGGAGCCTGGTTCCCTGCACCACTGAGCACCCGGTTTGCTTGGTCCTGCTCTGGGCAGTCTGGGGCAGGGGCTTGCAGACCAGAGCCCAGGACAAAGGCCCAGTGTCCACTTTTGTCAATGAAGTCCCACTGGACCAGGGCCACGTCCCTCGCCTAGATCTCACGTGTGGGATAATTTTGCGCAAAAGTGCAGAGCGATGGCAGCCCGGGTTGAGCCGAGGGAGACCGGGGTCCGGGGAGGCCCGGCTGCGGCCTCGGCCCCCTCGGGCCGTGGGTTCGGTGGCCCTGACCAGGCGCGGCCCGCTGACCGGTGGCCTCTCCCGCAGGATGAGTTCCACCCGTTCATCGAGGCGCTGCTGCCCCACGTGCGCGCCTTCGCCTACACCTGGTTCAACCTGCAGGCGCGGAAGCGCAAGTACTTCAAGAAGCACGAGAAGCGCATGTCCAAGGACGAGGAGCGCGCGGTGAAGGACGAGCTGCTGGGCGAGAAGGCCGAGGTGAAGCAGAAGTGGGCGTCGCGGCTGCTGGCCAAGCTGCGCAAGGACATCCGGCCCGAGTGCCGCGAGGACTTCGTGCTGGCCATCACCGGCAAGAAGGCGCCGGGCTGCGTGCTCTCCAACCCCGACCAGAAGGGCAAGATGCGGCGCATCGACTGCCTGCGCCAGGCCGACAAGGTGTGGCGGCTGGACCTGGTCATGGTGATCCTGTTCAAGGGCATCCCGCTGGAGAGCACGGACGGCGAGCGCCTGGTGAAGGCGGCGCAGTGCGGCCACCCGGTGCTCTGCGTGCAGCCGCACCACATCGGCGTGGC